GGATTTCCTGTGGGACAACTTCTGCCTTCCCTTGCTCCCAGGATGCAGCCACCACTGAGGGGGTGTTCCTGCCTAAAGCTTTAAAAAAACAACACAAAAACAGTACAGGAAATACGAAAATGTCACAGTAAGATTGAAACTTCACACTCTGAGGTCACATCCAGGGTAGAAGAGTTGAGGCTGTAGGAGCCATGGAGGACAATTCCAGCACTGGGTGTATCCCAGGATTTTCCCTGCAGCCTCAGTGGTGATTCCCTGCCTGCAGCACGCCCTGCCCATGAATTGTGCAGGTTTTTATCCTGCCCATGAACTGTGAAGGTTTTTATGCTGCCCATGAACTGTGCAGGTTTTTATGCTGCCCATGAATGATGCAGGTTTTTATCCTGCCCATGAACTGTGCAGGTTTTTATGCTGCCCATGAATTGTGCAGGTTTTTATCCTGCCCATGAATCATGCAGGTTTTTATGCTGCCCATGAATGATGCAGGTTTTTATTCTGCCCATGAACTGTGCAGGTTTTTATGCTGCCCATGAATTGTGCAGGTTTTTATCCTGCCCATGAATCATGCAGGTTTTTATGCTGCCCATGAATGATGCAGGTTTTTATCCTGCCCATGAACTGTGCAGGTTTTTATGCTGCCCGTGAATGATGCAGGTTTTTATCCTGCCCATGAACTGTGCAGGTTTTTATCCTGCCCATGAATGATGCAGGTTTTTATGCTGCCCATGAACTGTGCAGGTTTTTATCCTGCCCATGAACTGTGCAGGTTTTTATCCTGCCCATGAATGATGCAGGTTTTTATGCTGCCCATGAACTGTGCAGGTTTTTATCCTGCCCATGAATGATGCAGGTTTTTATGCTGCCCGTGAATGATGCAGGTTTTTATGCTGCCCCTGAACTGTGCAGGTTTTTATGCTGCCCATGAACTGTGCAGGTTTTTATCCTGCCCATGAATGATGCAGGTTTTTATCCTGCCCATGAACTGTGCAGGTTTTTATCCTGCCCATGAATCATGCAGGTTTTTCTCAGGTTACAGTGTGTGTGTTGACAAGGTGTCAGCCTGGATTCTTAATCAAGATGCCAGGGAAGATGGAGCAGCTGCCCCGTGAGGCTTTGTTAGCCCTGCCCATAATGTGATCACTGAGTTATTACAGTTCACAGAAATTGAATTCTGGCAATTCCAGCCTGTCACTCAAGCACCCTGACAGCCCAGCTCTCCTGGTGGGGTTTGGGTTGGCTGCTTTTCCACAAAATTCCACCTGGGAATTCTGCAGCAGTTTGTCCTTGCTCTGCTGCTCTCTTAAGGTTTCGTTATTTTTACTCATTTTTAGTGATTCAGGATTTAAAAATTACTTTTTTCTAAACTCCTACAATGTTATAGTTCCTCTTCTTTTGTGAAAAAAACCCAAGAACCACTAAAGGTTAAAATTAGTGATTTTAACACTAATATGAAGTGACAATTCTTGCTAAGGTTTGATGATTTTATGTCAATAAAAGCACAAGCCTAAAGCCATTTATTTATGATTGATTATAGCACTGATGAATAGAGTAACAAGTAATATCTTCTATTACATAGGGTCTGGAATAATTTTGTTTTCAGTAGATTGATTTTCTGAGAACTCTTTCTTCTTCTGTTCATCCTGACCTTTTTAAATAAATGCCTTCCTTTCTGGCTAGGTGGAAAAAACTCTTCACACCAGAGGCCATCCACACTGCACAGCCAGTTTACTCTTTAGTAAACCCTCATTTATGCAGCTTGATTTGTTCTCCACATGAAAATATTCCTGTTTCCCAGGGGTTTGAGGCTTACTCTGAAAATGGCACATTTTAAACCCAATTATCCTCAATCCTCTTTAACCAGTGGCTTTGGTGCTATGTCTTTTTAGACCTGGATATTATTTAATAATTTTTTTTATATAACAAACTAAGCACATAGGATGATGTACAACTGCAGAACGTCCTCAGCAGTCACAAATCAATCACTATAAAGAAATTTCCTTTCTGCCTCTTTCTAGTTCTGCACAATTTGTGTCTCCTTGCATTGAACAAAATGCACATCACCAGCCCTGACACCTGGAGAGTTCTGCTTTATTGAGCAATAACTTAATGTCAAATCAGCTGCCAGAACTCAGAGTTTACCCAATTCTCATGGAATTGTGGAGGATCCCTTGGGATGGACTCTGTCAGTCCACCCAATACCTAAATGAAAATGTCATTTTACCACAGAATTTTTTTAATCACAGAATTCCTCCATTCTCCAGACTCACTAGAGCTATAAAAGAGATCAAATATTGTCAAATATTATAGAGAGATGCATATAAATCCCATTAATCTTGCTAAGAAGAGATTAATTAAGACATCACAATTTTGAAGAAATGAAATTCAGTTGGTAAGGACCTGATGAGGGATTTGTTTTAACAAAACCACTTTAAAATAAGCATAGTCCTTAATAATTCACCACTTAATCATGTTCCTCAGTGCCACATCCACACAGATTTTAAATACAGGGCTCTAAGACAGTAAGAACAAATATTGCTCTCATTTAGGGCTCTGCACAGCAATAAATGTAGCTGGAGAGTGAGCAGCAGCTCTGCATTAATAGTTTGGAAATAAAAATAAGTAGAATGCCAAGAATGAGATAATTAATTCAAAATTAGGAAAACTCTCTCTGCTTCAGCATCAAAACTAATTTTCCTCTCTGAAACCAATGCTAAGGCCCAGCTCTTGTGGATTCCTGACAGGATGGGTTTTATTTCCTTGTTTGAGGAAGCTCTGGGGGCTTGCAGAGTTCAGTAGCACTGAAGCCTCATCAGGAAAAATTCAGACAGACAAGTCCATTCCCAGATTCAGTGAAGTCATTGAGTAAACTCTGCTGGAAATTGAAAAGCTTCAGGAGAGACACTGATTAAAGTGATATCTGGCAGTTTTGCATTTGACAATCAAATTATAGCAGAGGACTAATCAAAGCAAGATACCTGCATGATCTATATCTGTATTTATAACATTTTCATCAGTTCTGAAACGTTAATCCCAGTTTGGAAATTCAGGCTGTGATTACTCTTGTTTTGCCTGCACTGACAGGCATCCTAAGGAATCCTAGAAATTCAGATTTTTTTTTTTTCCTGATGATTCTTCAGCCAGATAAAAACTCATCTCTTGCTCTTCCCAAGCCTTACAGAAATTCTTACTCCAGAGTGCTGGAGGCTGTAGGAAATGCAGTATCTTGTCTCCTTGGAGACCATAAAAGAGCTGTTTGTGTGAGCTGAACACACCCCACAAATGACAGGCCAGAGCCCAACTGTGTAAATCCTTCCAAAAACTTCTATGAATTCTGCTGGGAACAAAACTGCAGGGAAAAAACATTATCCCACTTCATAGCAAGAGGTGTGCAGTTATACCATCACTTTTCAATTTTGAAGGATTTCCTGTATCTTCACAAACAGCACTGAATGATTTGCATGGAATTATGAAGAGAGGATTTTTAGAAAAGCTTTTTGCTCATGAAGTAAAAAATACATTTTTGAACAGGAAAATGCTCATGTGCTTAAGGTTGAAGGGAGATGGGGTGGGCAACAAAAATCAAATTCAGGATCTGCGGAGGAGCTCATCCCAGATGTTTGACACTCAGAAGGACAAAAGTTGGTTCTTCACACCCACCAAATAAAAAAAAATAAAAAGAAAAAAAACAACAACAGCAACAAAGTCAATTTTACCCACAAAGTAAAATTCCTGGATGTGCATGGATTCATTTTCTTGCTGCATCCTGCTGGCCTCCTTTGGCTTTTCCAGCTCCTTGTCTCGTGCTGCTGGGGGTGAAGGCACAGGGGTTTGGGTGCAACCTCCTCCAGTGCAGAATTTGGATTTAGATGTTTGTTAGTTTTCATTTATATTACAGTTTTACAGAGTTTTATAGTACTTTATGTTAACAAATTTAAAATGGAGCTGCATTTTTTTTCTGTCAGGTTTTTTTAAGGATAAACTAATTTAGTTTAATTAAGAAATGACACTTAAATTATTTTTTTTCTTTTAACTTAATAACTACTTGTGGTTTTTAATGTGGATTATTTTTATCTAATTACACAATATTTAAATTCATGAAGAGAAGGGGAAGAAGAAGGAGTGGTTTTTATTCTAAAGCATTTATTTTGTTTTATATACATATATTATATTTTAAGATGTTAAACTTTAAGGTTTTTACTGTGTGAAATGGATTGAGAGGTTCACTGGAGGAACATCCACAGGTTTTGTGCTCTGTGCTTTCCACTTGGGATCACTGAGTCTCTGTAAGAAGGGACTTGTACATTAATTATAGTTCAAATAGACTAAACTTGGCCTTCTCCCTTGAAAGCTGAATGGGAAATTTATTTTTTTTTTAATGTATCCAGTCTATCCTAAAGATATTTCCAAAGAGAGCAGCAGTAGGTGTGATTCCCACCACCCAGTTCTGGTCTGATACTGAGAAAAGGAACAAAAATTCAACTTACTGTGCATTAAAAAAATGCTTGTGATGGGGAGAGAGGAATTGCAATCACTTAAGTATCTGAAGTGGTATTATACACTTTTACTTAAACTACACACTTGTAATTTTCATTTTTAACTTAATAACTAACTACTTGTGGCTTACAATGTGGACTTTTTTATCTAATTACACAATACTACTTAAATCTATGAAGAAGAAGGACCAGCTTCTGCCTTAAAATTTTTATTTTGTTATATATTCTAAAACTTTAAACTTTAGTTTTTCAACTATGTGATATTACACTTTTATTTAAACTATACACTCATCATTTTAGTTCTATCATTTAATTTTGGAACTTTTCTCCACGGCCTCAGGTCAAATGCAGTGTTCTCTTGGGGGTCAGTGCTTGTTAGCCCAGAAAGTCTGAAATTCTCAGTAATTTTATCAGGTTTCTAACAGAGACCCTCACTCATTGCTGTTCTTTATTCATTTCTCCCACTCAGATGCATCACTGTGCACGGAACAGCCACGTGCAGAAGCCATGAATTCCAGAAAACTCCCCTCAGAAGCACGGAGAGCCTTCCCTGCTGCCAAGGCCCCCAGCCAGCAGCCATCCCACATCCTGGTGGTGGATGCCACCTGCCCTGGCTGGGCCAGCACCTGCCCCGTGCTCTCTGAGGCTCTGGAGAACGTCCTGGTGCTGGCCTGCGGCCTGGCAGGGCCCTGCAGGGTGCCCCTGCTCAGCCTCTACGTGGTGCAGCCCCAGCAGGAGTGTCTGCTGCCCTTCACGGTAATGCCCCAGGCTGTGCTGCTGCTCAGGGGGGAAAAAATGTTAATTACTGACAGCTAAATTCCTATCTAAAAATCTGTATGTAAACTCACATCGTAAAAATCAGCCGTGCTCAGAACGATCGTTTCGCCGTGAGGTGAATTTCATGAAATTTCATGAATTTCATAAAGTTGAAAAGGAGGAGTGTCATTTTTGATCTGTCAACCTGATCAATTGGGTTTTGTGCTCTTCCTTCCTAAAACATCTGTTTTGGAGGATCTGTTGCAAATTTCATGTGCTGCTTTGTGCTGTGCTGCTTCTCTCTCAGAATTATTACACACAGCTCCAGCTGGACAAATATTACCAATGTGTGAGAGGTTCTAGATATTGGAGGGGAAAGGTGCAGAATTTAAAAAAAAAAAAAAAATTTTTTTATATATATATATATATATATATTTATTTATTTATTTATTTATTTATTTATATGTGTGTGCTGAATATGCTGAATATATTACCAATATGTGAGAGGTTGTAGATATTGAAGTGGAAAGGGGCATAATTTTAAAAAAATATATATTTTTATATATAATATATATATTATATATTATATTATATTATAAATAATATATATAATATATAATATATAATATATACTATATAATATATAATATATAATATATAATATATAATATATAATATATAATATATAATATATATTTTATATATATTTTTAATGTATATATATATATATAATATATATCTGTGCTGAATTTGAGAAACATCCAGATGATTCTGTGATTTCAGGAAAAGTCCTCTAAGACTAAATCCAATTCTAAACCCAGCACTGCCAAATCCACCACTTCAGCATGTTCCTAAGTGCCACATCCACACAGATTTTAAATACAGAGCTCTAAGTCAGTAAGAACAAATTGCTCTCATTTAGGGCTCTGCACAGGAATAAATGTAGATGGAGAATGAGCAGCAGCTCTGCAGTAATAGTTTGGGAATACAAATATGCATCTTAAAGTTCACAAGAATTTTTGAAGTCATCCTGTTAGAAATAATCACACTGAGCACTCCCATTTACACAGCATCAGTGTAAACACACAGGATTAACCCTTCCAATTCATACAGCAATGGTGGAAACATTCTGAAGAGTTTTGTCAAGTCTCCACATCTTGAGAAAAATAAAAAAGCAGAAGTCAAGAGTAAATTAGCAAATGTGATCTGCAAGAAGACTCTGGCTAGTGCTGGTGTTTGTTTGGTAGGAAAGGTTATAGATAATGTGACAAGGACAATCTTATGACTGCTGCTCCTGATCAGCTGTCTTTTTTATTTAAACAACAATTCCTCATTTTGATAGTCCCAGTTTTTAAAGACAGAGGAGCCCTTAGATCACTGTTTTGTATGTTCACATCACAGGCTATTATATTTCACTAAAGTACCCCTGTTTCATTAAAACTTCCTTCCAGAAAGCCATCTAGTTTTGATCTGAAGACAAGATGGGTAATCAAGGACTTCTCTTGATAATTTCATCCAGTGGCATTGTGAAACCTGTACCTGGTTCCAAATTTGCATTTATTTGCTTTATCCTCCAGGGATTTCTTAATATTGAAGAACATGCTTGTATTTTATCCTTTCTTCCTCTCTGTTCTGTCTGGGAAATCAAGAACAAATTATAAGTTTAACTGCAAAACATTTTTACAATGATTTTAATAATTTCCAAGCCATTCTTTGTATTCACTTTGCTGGGGTTTTTTTGGGTGCTACATTCCAATAGCAGACATCAGCTACTGTACTGAAGCTGTTCCTCAGAGCTGTGTTAGACAAATCATGAAGTCAGGAAAGCCCCAGAACTGAAAATAGAGATGGGGAGAGTACATGGGGAAGTGTCACACACACTTACCCTGGGTTTAACCTTTCTCTGTGCTTGTTTATGGTCTCTGTTCCCACTGTAGGAGAGTCCATAAAGCCTCCCTGGAAAGGGCAGGGAGGGCAAAGAAAGAGAAGCCAGAATGAAAGGAAATAACTCAGGGGGAGAGTAAATGGTGGCAAGATAAGAAATCAGCATTGGAGCATCAAAAAATTTAATGTGGCACTGAGTAAGGACTGAGCAGAGCCTTTGCAGCTTCCCACTCAGTCCCACTGACAGCCCACATGCAAACCAGGGCTCAGGGGTGCTTCAGTGACCCAGAGCTCCACACACTGAAGCAAACAAGTCAAATGTTCACCTGCTGCCTCTTCAGTGGGGAAGGTGACCTCTGGCAGCAGTGTCTTGTATTGCTTTAAATAAATTTGGTAGAGTTCACTCAGTATCTTTCCCGTGGCCACAATGGACCAGTTTAGCTGCTGGGTCTGTCTCAGCTCTGAGTTCTTGGTGAGGCTCAGGTGAGCTGACTTCTCTTTGACCACCAGCTTTCCTCCACATTATGAGAGGTATTTTCTGTTGTTTTACAGCAACATAAAATTATGTTGTTACAGCATTTTATGTTGTTTACCAGAGGTGACAGGTAAAGACAGGTATCTGCTAAGGAAGGCAGGAGCCTCCCTTGAAATGGAAATGTAAACCCCCTCCCTCTGAATTATCATAAATTTGAAATTAAGGGGCTCTCAGGCAAAGATATGGGAGTAGGAATAATGGCTCTTTACTAGGAAAATTAAAAGTACAAATGTAATAGTACAAAAAAAAAGAAAACAAACCACTGCCAGAGTCAGAGCAGGCCCTGCCCCCCTGTGTGTCAGGGGGTGGCACAGCCCCATCCCATGGGGGCTCAGCCCTCCTGCAGTGCCAGCTGTGGCTCTGCTGGAGCAGGGATCCTGCACAAGGGGGGAGTTTTCCTCTGCAGCTCCAGGGCTGCTGGAGATGGGCCTGGGCTCCCTCTGGCAATGCAGGGCAGCAGAAGCTGCTCCTCTGGCAATGCACTGGGCAAAGGCTGCTGGGCTGTCCCAAACCTCAGATTGGATCCAGGTAGGAATGCTTGGCTCCTCCCCTGGGCAGAGCATCTCCCCATGGGATGATGGGATTGGATCAGCCATGCAGGGACACTCACTGGCCATGGACAGAAGAGAATTAATAATGAATGGCCCATGAACAGAAGAGAATTAATAATGAATGGCCCATGAACAGCAGAGATCTCCTGGAGGGAGGATTGTCTGTGGAACAGATACAGAAAACTGCCCAATGAACAGAAGATAACCTCCCACTTCTAACAGATAGTGATGAATACACACCCCCAGCTAAATCTTGTAACCTAAGAGCCCAGCCTTTCCTTGAACCCTGTTTTACAGCAAGTGAAAGAAAACTTTGCTCGAGTTCAGGCCTGCATTTCAGAGCTCCGCTCGCTGCCAGCTGAAGGCTGCTTCCCCCAGGGAGGGAATGGAGTGCTGCAAGCTGTGCAGGATGGACTGCAGCAGTTCAAGCAGTACAGCAGGCACACAGCAGCAGGAGGCTCCACAAATAGTTCTGTTGAGGTAAGAAAATGCTGGGAGGGGACTGGGAGCCATCCCCCATCATTGTGATTTATAAATGTGTATTTAGTGAGCATGCAGAAAAATTTAGGTATTCAGCACTCTGGATGTTACAGAGATTCAGAGAAGTCCTGAAGGAAGATATCAAGTCTTCAAATCCCTCTGGACAGATTCCTGTGGAAAAAGGGACCCATCTAGGGAAAGCTGTCCTGGTCCAGGGTCTGATAGGTTTTGGTGGACACACTTTTGGTGGATTTTGGTGGCTGTGTTTTCAGCTCTAAATGTGTGATTTTGCATAAAGGGGAGGGAAGCTGCTACTAACACATGAGAACAGATGTGTGAATGCAGAAAGCAGAGCAAGGTTCACAGGAGGAAGTATTTTTTAAATAGTATCAACTGACATGAAAGGACAGGGAGTTATCAAGGGGAAAGGACTCACACAGGAATGTTTTCCTCTGGACAGCAGAAAATACCAGCTTCAAACAATCCTACATTTCAGACTGCCCAGGCTCAGGGTCCACCTGCCAGTCATAAAAAGCAAATTGAAATTGAAATAATTGAAATTTGCCAAGTCTTTCTGTTTTGTTTAGCTCCTTAAACCCTTCCAGAGTGTGACAGAGTCACGCTGTGATCAGGCTGAATCGAGACTCACTCCCAGTGTCTGTCCAGGAAACTTTTCTACTGATTTTCTGCCTTTCTTGGGGCTTTGAGGTATTTTTCCTGAGCATTTGAAAGGTGATTTGTGCTTTAAAGCTGGGGTTGGAACAAACAGAGCATGCTTTGGACACAATACCTTTTTTGACACACAACAAAATCCAGGACATTTTCTAGTATACTTGAAGGAACAAGCTACATTAAAAATTAAGTTAACCCATGGATATAGGGAGTTTTTACTCCCCTAAGCAGTTCTTCTAGGCTACTTCTTCTAGATTATGCAATTATTCTTCTAGTTCTTCTAGATTATGCAATTTTCTTGTACTTCTCTTTGCAAGGGGATGTAAGAAACGCTGCAGGGACAGGCTTTGGTCACTGACAGGCAGGAGGGAGTTTTACCCTCACAAAAGGCCAAAAAAAGTTTCAAAAAAGGCCTCTTTCTGCTCCAGATACTTAAGTGATTGCAATTTCCTCCCCTCCCCATCACAAGCATTTTTTAATGCAGAGTAAGTTGAATTTTTGTTTCCTTTTCTCGGTATCAGACCAGAACTGGGTGGTGGGAATCACACCTACTGCTGCTCTCTTGGGAAATATCTTTAGGATAGACTGGATACATTAAAATAAAAATAAAATTCCCATTCAGCTTTCAAGGGAGAAGGCCAAGTTTAGTTTCTTTGCACTATAATTAATGTACAAGTCTCTTCTGACACACAGAGATTCAGTGATCACATGTGCAAAGCACAGAGCACAAAACCAGTGAACCTCTCAATCCATTTCATATTGGCTTAAATGTGAGCCAAAACTCAAAAAAACCCAAAAAACTTATAAATCTTCTTTTGATATTTCAGCAAGATTATTTCTCCTCTCTCATAAATGAGACCAGTGTTACTCAACATCTTCACCTCCCAGGAGAGAATTGGGGTAGAGGCAGCTTCTTCAAGCTCTGATTTGTGTTTCAGATCACAATTCTGACCAGCCAGCCCAGCAGAGACATGGTAAAGCAGCTGGAAAAGAAGCTACAAGACATAGACCTGGTCAGCCTGAGAAAAATACAGGTCATTGAGGTAGTGAAGAGAGATTTCCTGGAGCCTGAGGATGTGGAGCAGTGTGTGCCAGCAGAGGAGCTCAGCACTGGTGAGTGGAGGGCATTTTTAGGGGAGTTATGGCTTTGGGCAGCACGACAATCCAACATCTGCCACTTCCCTTTGGGCCATTTAATGTCCCTGGGTCACTGGGGACTGCTGTGGCTGGAGGAAATTTGTACCACAGCACTTCTTGGGGCTTGGAGAACTTACAGAGCTCCTGTGTTGTTGGAGTCCTGGATGCTGAGAATTTTAGATTTTCTGTGCTGCCAGGCACTGACCCCCAGGAGAACACTGAATTTAACCTCAGGGCATAGAGAAAGCTTCCAAAATGAAATTATAGAACTGGGATTGTGGCTGTGGAGTTGGACTAGAAATGTGTGATATCACATGGTGGAAAACTCAGAGTTTAAGGTTTTAGAATGTAGCAATATTTATAAAGCAAGATGGAAGTTTTAAGGTGGACATTGATTCTTCTTCTCCACCTTCTTCTCCATAGGTTTGCTTGTATTTTGTAATTGGATAAAAAAGCCCACATTGTGGACTTCAAGTGATTAGTTATTGGGTTAAAAGTGAAAATAATTTAGTTGTCCTTTCTTAATTGGATAGTTTATCCTTAAAAGACCTTGTAGAGAGAGAGATGGGGCCATTTTGTGTCTTGTTAGTGAAATGCTGCAGAGCTCACTGCTGTGAGACTATAACATAGATAAGAACTAATAAACATCTGAGTCTGAGCATGAAATGCCCTCTCAAGTGCTTCAGTCCCAACCTTGACAGAACAAAGAAGCCCAGAACTGGCAGTGTGTTGCTTCAGCTCATGGTGTTATTTAAAATCCATGTGTGACACAGCTTCACTGAGGGGCTTAAAGAGAAAAAGGCATCGAGTTCGGGGGGTAACACACTCTGAGCATGGGGGAAAGCAGCAGCAGGAAGCAGGAACTGTATCAAAGACAGAAAAAAACCAGTTAATTAAGAGGCTTGGTCAGTGCCAGTAACTCTTCCCAGCAATGTGCAGCCTGGGAGAGAGGATTATGTGGGGATTTTTTAGGTTCTGAATGAGTTAGAGACAGGATTTCTGAGCTTTTTAGATGATGTGGTTTTTCTTATCTTCGACATAGGCAGGAAGGATGAGTTCAGCTCACATCATTACAGCATGCTTCAGAAGGCCATAACATCTTTAATCACAAGGTTTTTTTAAGGAGTTCTTGACTAATAAAACACTGCACTAATAAAGGATATTTATGGTTTTGACCCAATCCTTAAATATTTTGTCTTATGGACCCATGCTACAGTGTACATGTTCTTAGCTAATCATTTATGACACACAAACTCCCAGTACTGCATTCTAATTTCTTTGTTGACCTTGGTAGCTACTTTAATTTTTTCTATATCTTAAACTCAAAAACTCTCAACTTTTTTTTTACTTAGCTTAACATGCCTTTGCTTTAAACTACAAATCCAAATTCTTGCTTCTAGCACTTAAGTCTGGAAGCCTTTTCTAAAGTCTCAGCTCACATCTTGTGTTTAATTCTAAGCTTTGGCTTGCAGGCCCAAAGTTCTGAGAATTCTTTGTATTTCAGATATTCCAACAACAGGATTTAAAGGGTTATTTCTGGTTTTTTACTGAGGAACAAGCAGGGTTATTTGTTTCTTGCTGTTCATTTTCTTTCGTGGTTGCAGCAAATTTCTGGTCAATTGTCACAGTAGGGAAGGCTTGGAGGGCTCAGCTCACAGAGGAGGAGATGCTCTGTGCCTCTCTGTCACAGGGCTGCTTCAGGGAATGTAAAACCCCACCCAAATTATTTCTAAATGTGGATTTTTGTGCAGCCCTTTCATCCAGTAAATGGAGTGAAAATATAAATGTGGACATAAAAGCCATTGAAATGTCAAGGGATGAAATTCTCATTTTCTGAGTGGATGAACTATTTGCTCTCTAAAAAAAGCAACAGGGGATGAATAAGTCAGATAATTGGGAAAATGAGCCCAACTGGTTTATGATACCCATTGGAGCTCCCTCCTTCTGTTTCAGAAAAAAAAAATCCATTTTCCTATTAAAAAATTACAGTAAAGAGCATTGAATTTGCAAGATCCAGTGTACAGGAAGTGCAAGATTGGTGCTGTGTTGAACTAGAAAATAAATATTGTGATGCAGCACTTAATCAAGAGCTTCATTTCACTGAGGATATTTCTTCCATTAGTTTCTTTAGGGGTTATTTGAATATACTTACATTTTTAATATCCAGAGCAGGATCAGGATATCCCCTCCACAGGCTCATTCCCAGGTCAGTGCAGCTGGAAAAGACTGAAAACCTCACATTGGCAAATCTTAGAACAGCTTTGAACATGCTGAGATCTCAGAATCAGAGCAAAGTGATTTAACTAAACTCTGTGGAGAGAAGGACATCTGAGGTGGGAATAATCGGGGGGAGTAACCAAGAGGATGCCTGGCATTGGGATGGACTGATCTCTGATATAATAATAATAATAATAATAATAATAATAATAATAATAATAATATCGTTAGTATTACCATTATCAGCACCACTATTATCATTATTATTAATAATTTATTTTATATATTACCATTATATTGTATTATAATCACAATTATATTCTATATTATATAAGTATAATTATACTTTTATTATATTATATAGTGTTAATTTTATACAATCAATATATTGTTATTATTGTCATAATCATCACAACTATTATTATTATTAATAATAATTTATTATATATAACCATTATATTGTATTATAATTATATTGTAATTATATTTTATATTATCAATATAATTATACTATTATAATAATTATATAATATTAATTGTATACAATCAATCTATTGTTATTATTGTTATCATCATTATCATAACCACCATTATCATTATTATTAATAATTTATTATATATAACCATTATATTGTATTATAATTATATTGTAATTATATTTTATATTATCAATATAAGTATACTATTATCATAATTATATAATATTAATTGTATACAATCAATATATTATTATTATTGTCATCATCATTATCATCATCACCACTATCATTATTAATATTTTATTTTATATTTTAAAATTATATTATATTATAATTATATTGTAATTTTATAATATATTATAATTATAATTTTACTATTATCATAATTATGTAATATTAATTTTATACAATCTATATATGATTATAATTATTATAATAACTCATAATTATAATTAATAATAAATAATTAGATATAATAAATGATTGTAATTATATTATAATTCTATTGTATCATAAATTATCAATATAGTTATACTATTATTCTATTATAATGATGATGATGATGATGATGATGATGATGATGATGATGATTAGTATTGATGTTGATGTTGTTATTATTTCTCTTCCCCTGCCCCATTTCACTCCCTGAAAGCAGCTGAGCCTTGCCAGACCTTTGGCTAACAAAGGTTAATATTTGCATGTGCTGGAGATAACTGCTCCCAGCTATTTCTCTTTGATAAAAACAAACAACAAGTCCTGCAGATAAAGCACTGGTGACTCTTTATGACCCCAGCCCATCTTCTGCAATCCCAGAGCTCCTTTCTCTGCCTGGCTCTGCCCTCCAGGAAGTTTGAGACTCACTGCACAGGAGATTTTGGCACCCCAACCTGCTTTTCCTAATGAATGCAGTGAATTTCTTTGAAAATTGTCATGTCTTGTGCCAACTGCAGATGTATAAGTGATTAAATATCTATTACAGAGAAAAAATTAAGAAAACAAAAATCAGGAAAATATTTACTGAGGGAGGAACTAAAGCATTTACCAGCCCCAAAACCAAATAATTCCCTTTGTCAGCTGTGTTTTGCTGTTGGTAAAAGTTAATTACATGGATTTCCCGGTGCTTTGTCTTCTGAGCTGTCAATGCCCTCTTCAGTGCACATCCCTGAGAGAAGCCCAAGTCTAAAATCTGTAGGAAATGCATCCAAAACAGGATCATCCTACAACAGTGAATTCTGCAGGGAAATGGGAGCAACACTCAGGGCAAGGAGCTGGAGGTGGAAACAGCTCAGTTCATGAAGAGCAGCTTCCAAATAAAAAAAAAAAGAAATAAAAGTAGTAAAGAACTAAGAAAATAAAGGAATTCAATATCCTGGCAGCCAGTGACAGTCAGAGAGGACAAGGGAAGGTTTTTAGTAGCAAGGGCAGTGGGAAAGAAAGATCTCCTGTTTGAGTGGGAGCTGAGTTTGCTTTGCTGCAGACACACAACCAACATCATCTCTTCCTCAAGGCTGGGAGGTGGGGACAGGCAAAAAGTGTGTCCTGAAGAGTTACAGTCATTACAGTGGTCCTGGATTATTTGCCAGCTAGAAATTATTTCATTTCTGGGTATTTTTCTTTGGGTTTGGGCTTTTTTTTAATGCATAAGTGTCATTTTTGCCAAATGGCATTAGAAATGAAAAGATTTCTCAGTGTAGAAGGATGCAGCACTGGTTTTTAATCCCCTTGCTGGCCTGGTAAACACAAGGGGTGGAAAAATGCTATTTCTGCTATTTATTCCTCTTCTGAGAAAGCCTTTCCACATCCTGGCTGTATGGTAAAGTTATTAGTGCTACCACACTGCACCTTCTGGGTTTACCAGTGGTTATATTGCATGCCTTATGCAATTTGCAAATGGTTTGGGGTTTTTTCCTTCCCTTTATTTTATTTATCCCATTTTATTTTTGTTTATCTGATGGACTTCAAGTAGCTTCTCATCTGCATGCATCTTTGAGATATTATTTGTGGGTGGTTTGGGGTTTTTTTGGGAGGTTTATCTTGTTTATATCCTGCCTAACTCTGCTGTCCAGCCTACATTTCTCCACGCTTAAAAGTTGTTGCTACATCAAACCACATTTCTCTGCACCTCCAACCAAGGAGTCTAATAATTGCTGAAGAAATCTTTTCAATGGCTGAAAATATTGGTGCTTTTTCACCTATTTTTTCTTTTATGCTGCAGATATGGCAATCCTGGGAATGGACATCGAGGTGCAAACTGTAGAGGACAATGTCATCAGCCTGGAGATGCTGTTTAAAACCTGGCTCCATGACCATGGCACAGAGAGGGAACAGCTCCATCTCCTCCTTCCCTCAGGAGGTTTTGGCCACGCTGCTGCACCCAAGAACACCTTAAGTATTTCATTTTCTCTCCCCTCTGCTCCCCTTCAAGGAGCTCCTGAATCCCTCAGCTTTAAAAGCTCCCCAGGATTGTCCTATGGGCACCTTCCCTCCCATTTAGAGACCCAATGAGGTCTGTGGATAACTTGGAAAAAAAATCATCAGGCTTACAAAGCTGCTCTTTGCTGCCACAGCTGCTGAGGCTGCAATTGTTTCCATTTTGCAGCAAAAATGTGCCTGGAGGGGCATGTGAATTTACAGCCACGTGGCCAAGGTAAAAAGGAGCCTTGAGAGCTGAATAGCCCTAAAAATTGTGTTCAAAACAGAGTCTGTGCCAGAGTTGCACTTAAATAAATGCTGTTTTACAGAGAGCTGCACTTGAATAAAGGCTGTCTTGCAGAGGGACTTGGGGACAGGTTGATGCCTTGTGCCAGGCTTTAGTATTTTCTTTCCCCCAGTAGTTGCTTGAAAACATTAATTTTGAAGTGCTTTGAGCATGTCATGTGCTAAGCATTGCCCATCCCAGCGACCTAAACCATTCTCCTTCTCCCAGTGTGCCTGAAGTGTGATTTGCAGGAGAGGCTGCTGGACCCAGCCCTGCTTTTGGGGACATCTGATGGCACTGGGAGAGCAGCAGATGCCAGCTCTCCCTGGCACATGGCAGCCTGGCCATGCCCAGCTCTGCACAAACTCCGGGTGCTGAAGTGAGTGGTGCTTCTTGTCTTCCACTGGGTGACTGGGGGAGGGTGTAAGAAAAGCTCCACTTTCCTGGGGCCTGCTGACATCACCAGGAGGCTCTGGTGGTGCTGATGAGCCAAATTGTGGTGTGAAAAACCCTCAGTTCCATCACTCTTCCTCTCATGGAACAGCACAGCCCACGTGCAGACCACAGTCACACCTGGTGTCACCACAGCACCCAATGAGGGTGACACCACAGATGCCATTCCTGCTCAAGTTCTTTCACCCCAGTGAAATGTTTTATTGTAATTATTCTGCTCTCTCATTACCTAACGAGGCCACAGCAATTAACTGGATGTCAGAAACTAAGCAAAGCCTCACAGTGCTGTGATTTCACCTAAGAATTCACTTTCCTGGCAGCAGTTCAGGGCAGAGCACAGAGATGCTCTCCAGTGTCTTTATAGGAAAAAAGCAGGATAATTTCTAAGCTGTGCAGTTAATGCTGAGCACTAACATGAGCTGTATCCTGCAGGGCTCTGAAGGCTGAAGGGGTCTGTGAGTCTGTACTCTATGGGCTGCCCTTCATCATCAAGCCCACAAGCTGCTGGCAGCTGGACTGGGATGAACTGGAGACAAACCAGCACAGCTTCCATGCTTTGTGTCACAGCCTCCTGGTGAGTGTGGAAAGGGCACTGTGATGGGCAGGGATAGCCAGGGAAGGGAACAGTGAGTGCACACCTTGTAGCATGTCAGGAAACATTTTAAAAGCTACAGCCTCATCTCATGGGCCAGAATTGAACTTGTAAATCCTTCCATCTGCTGGAAAGATGCTCCAGCTCATCAGAGCTTAGGGAAGGCCCTCAAACCTTCCAGAAATGAGTGTTTGGAGGTGTGAAGTGCAAATGCCAGGGTTGGAGTTAGATTTGAGACTTCAACAGCGAAAATAATTAACCAAGGCTTGGACTGTGGAGAACTGGCTGTTACTGACAAGCTGAAAACCAAAATTGGGTGGGGTTTTTTTAAGAATTGACTTGCTAAAAACAACCTAAATGCCATACTGCCCTGAGCCCTGCTGCAGACTAGTTTCCCTTCCATGATGTGTGAGTGTGCCTGCCCTGAACCCACAGTGGCAGTGCTGAAGGAAGTGGCTGTTGCTGTTGCTGTTGTTCACACCTGGATTTTGCCCTTTAGAAAAGGAAGTGGATGCTCTTGGCCAGGCAGGAGCCCCAGAGCACGGGACCAAACTGGAACGTGGTGGTGCACCCCTATTATGTCATTGTCCCCTCTGACTCTGCCACTCTCCTGGTGAAAGCAGTGGCCATCAGAGAGCTCCTGCTGCCATCAGCCTTCCCAGCCCTCCTGGCTGAGCACCCCGAGCGTGTCAGGGGCCCCATCGAGGTGAGTCACTCATTATCAACTCTCCTTATCACCTCAGTAGATAGCGAGAGAAGGAAATGGCTGTGACAATGTCTAGTGACATTGTGTGATGCTGCACTCCAGAACTCCTTCCCAGCACACAGCTTTCTCCATGGACAGCAAATACCTGTCCTTGGGAGCAATGTTGGTGTCTGTTGGTGGGAAGAGGCCTTGTGAAGCAGAGTTGAGGGTGACAGTGCCCAGAAAGGGAGTTGCAGGTTGTTGGCTGATTCTGGGCGTGGGAAAGGATAGGACTGCATCCTGCAAGGGGATGTTTAAATCCATTAAGATCTGTCTGGAGATGCCTCTTGTTCTATACACAGTTTGCAGCACAGCCAAAAATCCCTTCACCTTTCACTGCAGGGTGGGTGGTTTGGAGTGTCTGCAACACTGTCCCTGAAAAAGAAACCAAAAAAACCACAAACATGCAAACCCCACAGCTTCCACCTGTCACATCCTGTAGCAAACTCAAGTTCTCTCTTTCAAGCAGAGTGCCCTGAACAACTTGGAAGTGGAAGTTGCTTACAACCCCTTGCACCAGAAGAGCAACCTCTACAAATACCTGAAGAGCTCCTTGTACAAACCTCCCCACCGGCAGCAGCCCCAGCCCCGGGAGCAGCGCCCGGAGCGCCACCAGCCCAGGCAGGTGAGTCCTGTGTGTGAGCAGCCTGCATGGGCTCTGATGTCCCCTCCTGGCCAGATTCCAGCAGATTGTGCCCTCCTGGCCAGCTTCCTGCAGGAATTCCCAGCAAGGTGAGGCACAGCCAGCACCTCCCCACACAAGGATTTGTGTTTTGTCCCTGTCTTGCAGCCTCAGAGCAGAGCCAAAGCTGCAGTGGCTCCCCTGCTGATGGCTCCCTCTCCCCTCCAAACGTTCAGACCAGCAGCAGCAGCAGCCAGGAGAGGCTCCTGTGAGGGCTCCCTGCTCCCCAAGGAGTACGAGGAGTTCCTGCAGTGAGCAGCAGGAGCTGCCCCTGGGCAGCCACAGCTCCTGGCTCAGCAGCTGGCCGGATGTGGTCAGGCAAGACACCGAGCTTGGCCTTGGGCAGGCAGGCACTTCCCATCGTTTGTTCCTCCTTGTTGTTGTTTCACGTTGTGTTCGTCACCCAGCCAGTTCTGCAGGAAGTTTGCTGCTCAGGGACCCTCTGTCCAGAGCTCCAGCTGGCCCCTGCAGCAGCAGCAGCACCACGTATTTCCTGTTCTTGCCAGCACACGTCACCAGCCTGCCTCAAATTTGCGTTTGTGAGACTGGGCCAGCACAGGCCACAAATCACAGATTGCTGTCAGTGGCAGCAGAAGAGCTGCAGGCAGGGCAGGCAGGAAATCAGACAAGACAGGCAGTTGTGCTGAGCTGCCCTCATCCCACAGCAGCAGGTGCAGTGGGGTGGTTAAACAGGAATGAAACAGGGCTCTTGGATTTAATCCTAAGGCCTGGAGTTCTGCTCTCCAGATGATTAGGTTGCTTTCAAGACTGGCCTTGCTGTCAAACACCCCAGCTCCTGAAGGGGGTTGGAGTAAATGCCCAGCCAAAGCAATTCCAGAGAATTCCTGCCCAGATGCCAGCCTGTTTTTCAGTGTAGGGTAGGTGTGAGCCAGGGGCAGCTTGACCAAGCCAAGGTGGGGTGGTCTCACTGATCCCCTAAAGCCAAGCACCAGCAGAGTTCGTGTTCTACTTACCTGGTTCTGAAAAGCTGTTCCAAAATAAAGTTCTCCTCCATGGAGCTCACTCCCTGCCTGTTGTTTCTGACATGTCCAGCACTGCTCTCCCACCACTGACCTGTGCTTCCTGGGAAACAGCTGCAGGAGAGCAAGGGCATGAGGCAAGCACCACAATCCCATCTCTTCTCCCTGGGATCCCAGCTCTGACAGACCCAAAGGCGTGGGCTGGCTCTTCCCATGCCCATCTCATCAGGCAGCTGCTGGGGCAAGGCATCGAGGGCAGGTACCATGGAAGAGAGGGCTGGCACCCCTGCAGGCACAGGGATGGTTTGGAGCAGGAATGAACACACAAATGGCCCAGCCTGGGACTTGCAAGCCAGTCAACAACATCAAAATTATAAAGTCAGGTTTAGGGAGGAGGCAGCAGGGAGGCAACAAAGTTTTTGGAACCACTCAACCTCCCTCAGATTTCCCCAAGCCCATTAGGCTTTTCCCCTTCTCTTGCAGCAAAACCCCAGTAGAGAAGAGGACCCAGCAGAGGGGAATTGGTCCTGACCACAGCTGAGCTGTGTTTTTACAGGACTGAGGCTTCCCCTGCAACCTGGGCACCAGATAAATGCCCAGAGTTCATCACCTCATCACCAGCCTGGGGACCTGAACCTCCAGGCCTCTCCAGCAGTTTGGCTGAGCTGGGGCTGCAGAAGTTGAGCTTAGCCCTCTCACAGGTGCAGCACAGAGCTGCCTGTCACCTGCCTGTTCTTTAGGTACAACAAGCTGCCAAACCTGCAGAAGTCACCAGCAGATGTGGGGACAGCTAATGCCAGCGTGCCTGGTGTGGTCCCACACAGAAAGCACAACCTGTATTGACCCTGGGTTGGCTGCTGGCCAAGGCTTGCCACACAGCAGTGCCACAAACCACACAGCAGGCATCACAGATTTGGCCATTAAACTCAGGGGGATCCAGGCTGGGCCCTCCCAGGCCTCCCAAAGCAGCTGGGAGTGGGGAAATTCAGCAGTGGGATCAGGCTGGAGAAGGAGAGATCCTGTAACTCATCAACAGCCACTGAGCTGCAGCAGAGCTGGCATCTGTCTCTGCCCAGCCATGTGCCTGGAGGCCATCACATATGTGAGAGCCTGACTCTCATTTCCCTTAATCCCCTGGCATCAGGGCCTCCAGCCACAGCTCAACCTGGCAGGCACTTTTCTTTGAGCTCAGGAGCTCTGGCACAGACACAAACGTGCACCTGCACCTCCCCATCCATGCCACAGGCAAACGTGTCCTTCTGAGACATAAAGACTTTAATATTAAAATAACTTTGTATAAAAATACTTTTGGAGACTGACGGCAAGCAGCCTTCCACACACCATAAAAGGCACCAGAGCCCTGCAGCCTGGTCAGACAGGAAGCCAGAGCAGAGCCAGAGCAGCAGGTACAGGAAAACACCAGCCCTCCTGCAGATCAGAAGGCACAGTGGAGCCAGCTCCAGGGCTGGAGAAACACACTGGGGCTTGCTCCAGCCACAGCTCTCTTACTGTTTCCCTCCAGGAAAACCCTCAGCACTGGTGAGAAAAGGGGCTCTGCCAGAGCCCAAAAACCCCAAGTCATCCTGGGGAGGAGAAGCCCAGCTGGCACTGGGATGCCCAGTCCCTGCTGGCATACAGACAGAGCAGCAGCAGCTTAGATCTCCCCTAAATCCTCATAGAGAGGCCACAAGCTGTACTCATCCACACACTGCTCCTTCCTCTGCAGCTGCTGGGGCTTCACCACTTGGCTGTACAGCACCTCCACGTTGTTGTTGTTGCTGCTGTTGAGGCTGGGTTTGGTCAGCACCTTCTCGGGGGCAGCGCTGCCCCATCGCCTGCCAGGCTCCTCCAGCCTTTCTGCCCCTTTGGGGATAAAGGCTGCCTGGGGCTTGGGGGCTGGCACCGGCTTGGGGCTCTTGGCCTTGGCAGGGAAGTTGGGTACCGAGTAATCGTCAGTGCTGGGGTTGTAGGGGTACTCATAGCCCCCCCTGCCATCGTGGCCCTGCGTGCGCCAGGCCTCGCTCGTGGGCCGCGCCTCGTCGTAGATGTAGGTGAAGGGATGCAGCGAGCGGGGGGCGCGGCCCTCGGGCTCGTCATAGATGTGCTCCTTGTGCCCAGGGACAGCCTGGCCACGACCCTCAGCCCTGCCCTGGCCCTCAGCCCTGCCCTGGCCCTGCCCCTCGGCCCGGACCTGCTCGTACGGGCCCGAGTACGGCGGCACCGGCGGCCGCGCCTTGGGCTCCTCCACAGCCCCACCGGGCGCCTTGGCCACGCTCAGGGCCTTGCTGTCCACAGGGTCCGAGTACAGCGGGTCTGGCCACGGCTGCAGGCCCTTCACCGAGTCCAGGGGCTCCGAGTACACGCTGGAAGGGTCCTCAGAGGGTGGCACAGCACGGAGCACCTTGGGCAGAGGGGAGCGTGGGGGGGTGCTGGACACCGTGGGCTTGGCCGGTGGCACGGGCAGCTCTGGCAGAGTCCGGCTCTTCAGCAGAGATGTGGCATCTCTCTCCTCTGCTGCTGCTGCTGCACCAGCCCTGGGTGCCAGCCCTGCTTTGGGTGCCGGGGCGTCATCCCCCTCAGCAGGCAGCTCCAGGTTCAGGCTGTCAGCCAGGGCCTGGCGGATCTGCACCATGCCAGGGCTGTCAGCTTCCAGCGAGTCACAGCTCTGCCGGTTCTCCTCCACCTGAGCCTTCTGCTCCTGGATGGAGGCTTCCACCAGGCGGAAGATCTCGTTGCCCTGCTTGGTCTCAAAGGTGAAGTTGCCAGGTCCCGAGTCACAGCGCCTGCCAGCCTCGAAGGAGAACATCACCTGGAGGAGAAGCAGAAGGGTCAGGTCCTGCTCAGCATCCAGCACCCTGTGCAGGCTGTGCTTCCCACCAAAGGGCGTGTGGCTGCAGCACTGAGCCTGCACACCCTGAAATCCTGCCCTGAAATCCTGCTCTGAAATCCTGCCCTGAAATCCTGCTCCTTCCACTCCCACAGCAAGGGCCACCCTGTGCCCAGCAGCTGGGCAGGGATAGGCCACACTACAAGATGTAGAGCTGGAGCACACCTGAGGGGACATCACTGAGGGGACACGACCTGAGGGGACATGACTGTGAGTGCCCCAGGGAGCTGCAGCTCCTGCTGGGGCCCTGCTGCCTTCCATGAGCAGTTCCAGCAGTTTCTACCATTGGCACCAGATAGCCTAGGAAACAACACTGAGGAAGGAGTAGGGTGAGAAGGTGAGTGAGAGTTCAGCAGGGGAAACTAGTATGGAATGTCAGGAAAAAAGGGAGAGATCTGGAAGCAAGAGATTGAAGAGGATGAACATGGCTTTCCACAGGAGAAAGCTCAGCAGCAGCAGCTCAGTTACCAAGAGTAAGCAAAGCATTGACCTACCAGCATTAATCTGTTCATGGTAAAAGGTCCTTTAAAGAGAAGTCTTGCACCAGGGCTGTGCTTCCTCTGGCCTGAACACTCTCTGGTGAGCAGGTTCCCACCAGCTGACGCCCACACCCTTCCTGAGCCTCAGGATTTTCTGCCTCTCTCACAGGCAGCAGCAGCCCTTGTGGTTGCTACAAAGGTCTCTGGGGACAAACTCCTTTTTATGGGTCAGTGCTGCTGAACAGAAGCACCATCAGACCCTCTCTGCTCAGGTCACTGTGGGTGCAGCTCCCCACACCCTGCAACTCTCCTCCTTCCCCCAGCACAAACTCTGCAGATGAGCTGGACACTCCCACAAGGGCAGCTCGCTTTCCACCCGTGCTTTGGGAATGTGCTGCAGAAAACACCATAAATGTGTGGCCAACATGGTCCCTGCTATAAACAGCTCCAGGACAGCACTGAACAACCCCAGGACACCACTAAAGAGCCCAGGGCCACCACTTCTCCCTCTCCAGCATGGCCCTTGCACCCAGGGTAGCAGCAAGGCAGATTGAGGATTCACTGCACGAGGACTCTGGAGAGGGTCACACCCTCAAAGGTCACTGAGAATAGGAGCAGTTCCCCCCACAGAGTGAACAAATCCAGAGCAACTGGTGTCTCAAAGCCCCTCTGCTCTGGCCACCATGCTTAGGAGGGAGGGACTGATCCCAGGGCAGAGACAGGAGCCAAGGTTCCTGGAGCTTGGGGACAGCGTGTGTGCAGCACTGAGGGATGTCCCTGCTCCTGGAACAACCTGGGAAGCGCTGGGATGGAGAAGGGGAGCAGTGGGACAACCACAGAGGGGACGAGAGTCTCACCAGCCCCCGCTCCAGCCCAGTGACACAGGCAGGAACTGGGGACAGCCAAGGG